GACTTATTGTGCTTTGCAGAAAAGACAACTGCATTTTCCTGGAAATTGCATAAAAATTCAGAGAAGCAAAAACCAAAATATGTAAGATTTATTATTTCAAACCTACATTACACATTATCCAGTAATTAAACTCACTACCAGTTCAATGGAAAACTTTTTCATGTGTTCTATATATAAATATGTTTACACCAAAGAAGACAGTCCGAATAAGATGTGTATAAAATGTGATTGGATTGCAAGCATAATTTTGCTTTAACATAGAAGCAATCTGTGTTTGCTTCTATGATGCCCTCAAGCTTCCGGGTTCCACCCTCGTTTCCCTCTTCCTCAGGGACGGCCTTACTGTCTGAAAACAGAGCAATCCGCACAGATCTTTGCAACACAGCTCTGACCCATTCTCACACGTACTCACACACACACACATCCACGCACACACAGTCTTAACTGCATGCACATTTGCAAGTGGTCTCCTTTTGTACTTATTTGTGTGAACAAGATGTTCGGGCTCTCAGAGAAAACCAAACCTTTTGCTTTTTACTAGCTTTTTTTTTCCCTTTCAGCCTCTCACCTATTAAATGCTACCATTCCAGGTTTTCCACCTTGCTTTTGGAATTCCTCTTTCCTCACTGTTCACCCATCTTCCACCTTGGCTGATTGTTTCTCACCCAGGCATCAAGGCTCCCGGCCTCCCTGTGTGCTGCTGCGTTTTCTAGCAGAGTCTACCGTTCTGCATTTCATACAGTTGCACATTTGACACAAAATGCAGGATTCCAAGCTTAGCCCAAATTTCAGGGAAAAAGGTTATAATATAAATAATATTACGGATGATATATACCATGTTATGTATTAATTAATGAAATGTATGAATTTTCTCTGTTTCTTTCCCAAATTAGACTTCCTTTTGAACCCCAAACTTGCATATATAACTTCCTACTTGGTAAATCCATTAAAATATTCAGAAGTTTGCATTTTCAATATGGCACACCTGTTTCTCCTCTCCACTCGCTTCTCAGTGACAAATGAGTTTTCCATTTTTTAATATTTTTCCGGTATTCTCTGATATTCCTGTCCTTGTACTCCCAGCTGCCTCTGGCTACAGCTGACTGCAGAGCTCAGTCTGGCCTGCAGCCTGTTCTGAGCGACTGTTATCACCTTGAGCCTCTGCACTTAAACCTGAACTCACTCAGCTTGGGCAGCTTCCCTGCTCCTGTGCTTAATTTGTCCTTGTGGGTTCACACACACACATCTAAAAATATATGAACTTATTCATTGTGCGGTCATTTTCACACACTTAGGATCATGTTGCTAAAAAAGAAAAGTTCAAGTGACCAGTGTGATTGGCGTTGTGATTCTGCAAAGCAGCACCAGCCTAGGAGAAGGTCTGAGGACTGGTGAGGCAGATATCTCGTGTCCCAGGAGCTGCAAACACCAGCAAATCATGTCTTCTGTGACTGCTGGGTGTCCCTCACGTGCATTGTTCAGGCATGTGTATCCCAGAAACCAAAGAGGACATGCAGTGTGGTGGCATCTGAATGCTGAAGGGTGTTTCAGGGAGCCATTCAGGGAATCTTCTAAGGTTTAAACTACAGTACTTAAAGAAAATAATGACCAACAGTGCCTGTTTCGTGTGACAATGCATTGTAGTAGGTTGGCTTACTTCATTCTAATAGGTGTTTGCAGAGGTTAGCATCCCCCTACCCGTGCTGGAGAGAATGAAGCATCTCTTTCCTAAGTAATGAAATACCTCTTTTGTTCAAAACTTTATCACTAAGGCATAGCATACGATCTAGTATACAGCAGGTATGCAATAAACAGAAGAGGCAGGGAGAGAGAGAGATAGACAGACAGACAGAAACAGACAAAGACAGAAGAACTGGAAGGTGAGAGTGTGCTCTGTGTTACTGTTTGATGAGCACCTCCATGGTCAGCTCACTCACCGTGAGGGAAAGAACTAAACCTCACAGCAGCTGCACCCTCCTCCTGCTGAACACCTGCACTGCTGGGGCATCAGCAGCAGCTAAAGCACCTGGAGGCCAGGAGAATACAGCATAAGATAGAGCTGCGGAAGTCTGAGACCTGCCTTCTACTCACCGGCAGGTGATGGCTCTCTGTAACCGTTCTTCTCATGTCAAAGAGCCGAAGCAGAGGTGAGACCTCGCTCCTCCTACCACACATAGGCCTCATCGGATGATTTCATTCTCTCCCTCCCTCTGCCTCTCTCTCTCTCTCTCTCTCTCTCTCTCTCTCTCTCTCTCTCTCTCTCTCTCTCTCTCTCTCCCTCTCTCTTTTTCCCTCCCCCCATCCCTCTCTGTATTTGTTACAGGGAAGTGAACCCGGATCCTTACATCTGATCTCTGTCATCAGTCCCTTTATAATAATTTTTGTTAGATGTTGAGACAGGCACCCAAAGTTGGGCTGACTGGGCCCTAATTTAGGATCCTCCTTGCCCAGCCTCAGAGTGCTGGGATCACATGCCGGGCCACCGCACCCAGTGCTCATTTTCACTGGTCTTTCCTCTATTGGTATAAAAATCCACAATGTGGGGCAGAGTTACTTGGAAATTCAAGGAAATTCAAACAGTTGAATGCAGTGTGCAGAGACCGAGCCCAGGCAAGCGGTCTCTGTGCCTCTTCATGCAGATGGGAGCCACTGCTTTCCAGGACAGTGTTGTCTCTGGCTGAAAATCCTCCTCTCCCTTCTCCCAGTGAACCCAGCAGCTTGGTCATGGAGGAGATGGCTTCTTTCCTGAAGTGGCCCTCAAGCTTTGAAAAGGGTGCTTAGTACTCCTTAGCAAACCACGGTATGAGGCCACTGAGAATTCACACTGCATAGTAGAGACTCAGCAAAACACCACCATGCATTTTTTAAGGTTTTCTCCATGGCAGTCTTTGGCAGGTCTCTTTATCTGCCAGTAACTGGCAGAATAGAGAAAATGTGGGCTGGGTCATGAATACCTGGTGGCAAAAACTTTAGTATGCACTTTTCAAAATTGTATAATGCCTTGTTTCCACACTGTTTTCTAGTAATTCAAGAATATAAAAACAGAGTTTGGACAGTATGTAGAGCTTTAATTTTCTTATATGCATGTCTAAAAATAAATTGATACTTTTTCAAGCCAAATATTATCTTAGTAATATTAATGTGAGATTGTAGGAGATGAGATTTTAAAAGAAAAAAGTGGAAAGGCATAAGACAGTCATTTAGAATTCTGCTCCATCAGCCAGACTGTAGTAATGAACACAAACACAGCAATCGATCAGAGAGAGGCTGCATGGACTGGTCATCTGAATGATAGACATTTGTACAGAGACATGTTAGGCATAGCATAGACATAATCCGTAGAGTTGGCCAGGGAAGTAAGTGCGTGTTAATATCAGAGCAATTCTCACTGTATAACAACATGCCACACAAAAAATAAATAAATCAAGTATTCAGAGAGCAGAAGAATAACAGAATCATTTCCTTACCGTTTTGGACATTTTTATGAGATTATGGTTATACACATTTATGTCTGTGTGCCTATATTATATATACATATTCATAGTATAGAAAATGTACAACATATATAATGTATACAATTATGAAAGAATATGTAATAAATTGTGTTATCTATTAAAATAGATTTGATTATACTCATTACAAATAGAAAGAGCTATATCATCACATATAATTTTTTTAATATATGTTTAGTGGTCAACAAACATGAATTTAAACCAAAACTGTATCCTGTTCTTGTGTTTGACCATATTCTAAACAAACATACTGTTTTGTCGTTAGGCTAAAAATCAGTGAGATGCAACATCTGACATGCTTTTTATGCTAGAGGACACCAGGCCCGGACAAAGATGATCAAACTATTGGTGACGGGAAGGAACTGCTCCTGGAAAGCAAGCCTGTGAGGTAACTAGAGAGATGATCCATCAGGACTCTGGCACTGGGTCTCACTTCAAATTGTCCCCTCGCTGTGCCCATAATTCCAAGGCCTTAGCTCACATCACCCCCGGACCCTGAGCGCGTCCAGCACCATAAAGCTCATTTTAAAGTCATCAAGCCAGGCTTTCAAGCTTGGTTTTAATTTTAATTTATGCATTTGTTTGTGCTAGAAGCATGTCATTCATTTTTAAGAACTTGAATTTCCATCTGCATTTAATAATTTGCAAAATATATCTATGAAAAATGAAATTCTGATACAAGATTGATTGAATGTAGAAGTAATTGAGACATTTAATATAGGAATTTTCAGCCAATAAGTTTCATACAATAATATGTTCACTTAAATCTGTAGTTCATTTCTATATCCTAAACTTATACATCTTTTTAAAAATATTTTAAGTACTACATATTTGTTTACAAATATAAAAGCACATTTATAGAGTTTTTGGTCATTGTTTACATATGGAGATAAATAAGGATACAGTTTTCATAGAAAATAATGTGAATCATTGCATTAATAAGGAATGAATAGTTTTCTTCATTTTAAGTGTTTTACAATTATATTTTGACTTTCTGTTGATTCCAATATGTATATAAGTTCCTCGGAGACTTATATTTTTAATATTCACAGTAATTATTGACATAGGGGGACATATGTCAATTTTACATCTAATTTTGTGGCTCTTCCTGCTTTTTCTAGGTTTGCTCAAACATAGGAAAAAGCAAAAGCAAGCGTGCCTTCCATCCTTAGTAACCTGTAGGTGTGAAATGTGTTAAGTGTGACACTTCAAAGTTTAAAGCTGGTGCAACGGCAGAAGTTCACACATGGAACAGAGTATCTGGGGATTTGGGGGTTCACGGAGCTACAGTGAAGCGAGCAACTCTCTTTTTAACCTGTAACCTGTATTATGCATTACCATAACACCTCTGTATTACCCATGTTTATAAAATTGTCCATATAAAACAACCTGGGGACAGAAATGCTTCGTAGAAAGGAAGGCTTGGCGAGGGCATCCAGCCTGCAGAAAAACAATCGTTAGGTAAAAGACAACAAAACAAACTCATACCGTACGAGGAACATGGTCGCAGGTTGACCATGAACAACTTTGCCTGCAGGTAGAGGCGATGTGTGTCTATGAAAGCCTGAGGACCAAAGCAAACTCCAATCACTGAAATCCTTGTGGGTGGCTCTTTCCTGGAAATGAGAAGGATGTGATAGCCATGGTGATCCACACCTGCACATAATTAGAACCATGTGTTCAGTGCACACTGTGTGTAGGTTCTGGGCTGTATTTTTTCCCCTTCTCATTATAAAAGCTATTTCAACATATGAAATTTCTCTACACATGATATTTTATCATAATTTTATAGTACATCATATAATTGTCAAAAGAATATGGGTTTTCAGAACATTTATTAAAATGATAAGCAATGTAGCCTTTGCTAGCATCCCATGTTTATAATCCTTGAAAATAATCATCTGTAGTTTATTTTTATCTTAAGTAAGTCACACATTTAGTCCAGAATGAATAATTGAACATTTTGCTACTTACTTTGAAATATCTGTATATATGATTATAAATCACTCAATCTGTTTGTTTGCCTCTCCTCAAAATTACGTGTTTGCTTGTTGTTTCCTTGAAATCACATATTTTTAGCATTCATAATTATCCAAATATCCATATATTATGTACATTCGATATAATTTCATGATCTTGAGAATTTGCAAATTTCATTCTGCATTATTTAGAAACTATATATCCAGGCACTGAGCCAAAAATTTGGAGGCTATATGAAGTTACATCAGACATTGATCTTAGGTTTTCATAATAATAATTTATTAAAGAAGATAAACTAGACATAAACTTAAATGATTGTATTCTAATACATAAACCATCAAACATGAAGTTTAGAGATAAAATGTTGGTAGGATGAGTCTATACAACAGCACAGTTTAAACTCAAAAATAATAGTTTTTAAGTCCCTCGAAATATTTATGGATGACAAGAGTTACAACATTATTTCCTTGCTGAGACAAAAATGCTCTTTTTATGTACTCTGTATTGCTGTACACATAGAAACCATTTTTACTATTTCCTAGTACAGTATTTCAGTTATAATTCAGTCTACAATTCTGATGGGCTTAGAAATAACTAGGAAAAATAATTGGTGAAAATATATTTCTCCTTCGCACAGTGGCATCAAATATGTATTTTAATCATCAACAGATTTAGAAAACTGCTCCAGAGAAGAATGTGAGGCATAAATCTCTCACCTGCCTGCCGGTTATAGAGTGTTATCTTCCTCACACAGCGGTATCTTAGGTAAATGAATAAAATGGGCTTTTTTTATATTTTAGATTAGCCCCAAGAGGAAACTCATAGAGACCTATTAATGCAAGAGAAACATATTAACAATAATAAAAAATGCTAGTCTGCTAAGTTCAAACAAAGTTCATTCTCCCTTATTATGCTTTAGTCCTGTGGTACCTGAAAGGACATTTTGAGGAAATCAATTACTTTGCACACAATTCCCAAAATTATTTTCATAACCATTAAAGAATTCCGTGCGTCAAACCATAGTATTTGACTAGATGATTAACTCTCCCTTTTGTTTTCCAGGTAAGGACTAGAGATTTTATAACTGGCAATGTACCGAGCAGCTTCTGAACTTCTGACAGTCTCTCTGGAATCCTGAAACCTGTTTAATCTGTCTGTACCTGAATACCACTGTCACCAACCCCAGAAGCAGCAGCAGAAAATATGCTAATGTTAACAACACTTTCCGGAAAACACTTCAAGCTCTGTGGATGATACCATGCAGATCTGGAAACAAAAGGCAAAATATTTGAATCGCAGTGTTAATTTTTTTAAGTTTAAAGTCAAATTTGTCCCCAGGAAGACACTGAAGGAGAGCGTGTCCCCACCAAGTTTGGTGAAACAGCTGAGATTCTAGACGGTTGTTTTTTGGATGTTGATTGAAGAAGGGAGGTGAACAGGCAAACCATTGGTGCTCAGAGTGAAATGGGAGACCCAGGCCTCGGGGCTCTGCAGCTGTTTCCAGGGCACTGGGTTTGCTTCACTGCCTTTGTGGCAGGCTTTCTCTGCAGCTAATGATAAATAACACAATGTATAAATAAATGGTTATGTTATTACTATTGAAAATTCTGGTTTTTGTTGTATTTAATTTTCTTGTAAATCCAGTTTCTTGTAAATTCAGGTGTTATTGTTTTGAAAAAATACATCTTTATATATTTATGCAGAATATTTTATTATAGAATTAATAAGAGAAAAGAGCAGTTTTTGGAAATCTGATAAATAAGTTAAACTTTAAGGAGCATATGTACTGAATTAATAGCAACTAAATGAATCCACAAAGTATACCACATTATTTATTTAATGTAAGGAGCATAAAAGTCCTGAATGATGTTAGTGTTTGCTCCTGAAGCTGAGTGCCTTTTGACCTAAAAAAATTATACTGTAATCTATAGAAGTGTCATCAAAATTAACAAAAAGGAGCATTTATACGTACTGCAGATTCCTTATTCCAAAAATATTGCTGAAACACTAAGCGGTACCTTCTGGTAACAAAGACTGGTTCAGCTTCTCTGCAGACAATGAGGAAGTCTGGACAAGCATCATGACGATCAGTTTTTAAAGACATCTTTGCCATTAACCTAAACAGACAAAAAAAAGTATTTAGTTAAACATTTTCATCAGGACAGCTTATCTATTTTACAAATTTCTCAGTATTCCAAAAAAAATTCATATTAGCAAGCTCAAGATCCTACAGTTTATAATGAGAGAAAGAAACACATCCCTCAACACTCATATAACCTTCACATCAACTGTTCTACAACTGCTTATTGCTCCTCAAGTTCTAGAGGAGAATATGCCACAGGGTACCTCAGAAGCACTGGGCTGAGACCTTGTTACGCTTTCAGCTGAAAACGAAGCTCCCTAGAACTACTCTATGAAAAGGATATTTAAATGTCAGAATATTGATCCTGCTCAAGAAGTAAAGAATAAGATCCCTGAATTTTATCAGTGGTGAGATATCTTCCCTACAGGAGTCTGCTGTGACTTTTAGCACATGGTTCTGCTATACTTTAGACTATTTCTGTATTCATTTATCATGCTTTTCTTTAGGCTAGTATGGCAAGAAAAAACACAGTCCTTGAAATTTGTCTTTATCGTGATTCTTGGGTTTGTGAATATGTGAGGTTGTATGACACCATCATTCATTTTGTGCTGTACCACCCGATCACATGAGACCGGGCAATTTATAAAGATCATCAATCTGCCTCTTACACTTCTGAAGGTTGCAAGTTTGTGACAGAAGGACCTGTCTCTGGTGAGGGATTTCTTGGTGTATTACAACATGGTGACATGGAAGGCACCACAGGGTCACAAAGAACAAAGATCAAGGTAAGAAAAGTGGGCCAAACTTGTGCTTTCACCAAGAGCCCACTACCTTGAGAACTAGCCGACTTCTACAATATCAGCTTTAATCTGTTCATGAAGGCTGACCTCACATAGCCTAATCTCTACTGATTTACTTTTCTTGTCACTGAGACACAATTTCCAATACCCATAATCTAAAGGAGGAAAAGTTTGTTTTGGCTTACATTTTGTAGAGGTTTCAGACCAAAGGCTGGTCTGAGTCTTCTAGAAGTTTCAGACCAAACTTTGGCTCCAAATCCAAAAGAGAAACAACTCATCATGTGGCAGACCAGAGGAAGAGAGAGATCAAGGAAGAAGCAGATATAGCAAAATAGAGTGATAGAGAGACAGAGATAGAGGTATCTTCCAGGTCACATCCACAGTGAGCCACCTCTTCACACAAGGCGCCACCTCCTAACATCCCACCCAGCTGTAAGCCCATCAGCAGACCAAGCCAGTATCACACACCATGATTCAGTCGATTCACCCATCCATGTACCTCAGGTTTGCATCAAAACCAACATTTGGGGGGATTTCTGGGAAGATGGGAGAGGGATGAACAGCAGAGAAACAGCCTCTTTGAGATTTGCTGTGAGGAAGAGAAGAAGGAGGGAAGTGGAGTCTTGTAAGCACCTGAAGCAAGAATGGAACCCCGTGGGGAAGCTGAAAGAGAGCAGCAAAGAAGAAGGCGGTGGCAGGCAGCGCTTTCTCCCTTAGCTGGACTCACTGCATAGGAGGGACAGCTGGAACCTGTAGATGGAAGGGGACCAGTGGGAACCCTTCCCCCAGGCTTCCATGGAGCAATGCACAAGTGCAGTGAAACAGGGGACTGCATGACTGGTGAGTCATCCGGGGTCACATATCCCCCAGAACAGAGTGATTATCCAGTAGTCATCTTGGAAAGGGGACAGATAACCTCAGAACTCAGAAAAGCTGTGGCCCAGCTCCATCTAGTTGCTCTGGTTACAGGGTCAGGAAGCTGAGAGCAATTAGCAGAAGTTCAGAGAGCTGAGTTCAAGATAACATGGAGCAAGTTCCAGCCAGCAGGAGACACATGGGTGCTTACAGCCTGAGAAACTCTGATTCCAGCCTCATAGCAAAATCCACCCAATCTTCAGTGAGTAGAGAGTTCAGGCTCACTGGGACTGTTCATAGCCCTCAGGGACACCTACCCCAGCTGTCCTGCTGAGATTCATCAGCTTGGGTCTAGGCTTTGTTTGCCAATGTTGTCTACCAGTGACACCACAGACACACTTGAAGTGGACATTTGTTGTCTTCTTTTCTTTTTTCTCTTTTCTTATGTGTTTTGTTTTGTTTATTGATTGCTCTTGCTTTTATATGAGTGTGAACATGATTTATAATTTTGTTGTTCTTGTTTATATTTGTTTCTTCCCTCTTTCCCTCTTGTAATCTTCACCAGTTTCCCAAAGTTTGCATGATCATCTTTTCTCCTCCAGCCTTGCATCTCATCTCTTCCTCTTCTTCCATTTCTCTATTTACCTCAACCCATTTAAAATTTTCTCCCCAGGGTTGAAAATTGCCATATTGAGGGCTTACTTACTACATATAATTTCCTGACTTATTTTGGATTTTATTATATAATCACAAATATAATTCATATGGTTAAAGGTGGCAAATTTACAGTTACCTCACTTTTTCATTTTCTAGGCTGTGTTTGATGCTATTAATATTGCTGTTGGTACCATGCTAGCCAAGGTGACATAACTGTTCTCATCTGTTGTCCTTCATGGTTCAAGACTGAGATTGCCTAAGGGTCATAAGGGGTCTGATAGGCCAGAGGATCAGAGACTGAGCCAACTTGGCAGCAACTTCTCATCTCCAATAAATTGAAGAGTTAAGATCTTACAGCAGACTCAAAACCCAAAAACCAACTACAACTGGAAGACATCTCTGAGAAGCAGTCATTTCCTAAAATTCTTATCATAAAACCACTTACCATAGGGAATTTATAAGCATAATCCCAGGAATTAAACTTAAAAAATCCTTTAAAAAATAGAAAATGAGAGCACTCTTTAAAAAGGTTGCAACCTCTGGACTTCTGAAAACCAAACACAAACTCAGGGGACCAATGAGGTGAACCACTCTGACAGTCACCTCCCTGGACTCTCTGAAGTAGTAAGAGTAAAGTATCAAAGCAGAGGAACAAGGTTCTAGAAAAAATCAAATCAGAAATAATTTCTAGGATAATTACAGAGATGTTGACCATAGGGAAAGTCCTGCTTAGTGACTACAGAGCAGATAGAGATAACAAATAAAAGAATTTAGGAAAATGTTGGAAACCATGACTATCCAACATAAGAAAGAAATGGAATCTATGAAACAGATTCAAACAGATATCCAGGAGATTAAAAATCCCATTGCAAGTATACACAGCAGAATAAGCCAATATGAGGACTGAACACCAGATCTAGAAAACAGGATTGTGGTTAGTAATCATAAAAAGGGATATTTTACAAAATACTAAGGCACTCTGGGCAATCAATCCAGCAGCTGCTAGATGATGCAAAGATGAATAAAAGAATTTAGGAAAATTCTTTTCAATCACAAGAGTGATTGAAATCAATAAAAGCAAAATCAGGGGATAATCCAAAAAACATAGAAAACCTGTTCACAGAAGTCATGGCACAAATGAAATTAGTGAAGAAATTAGATGGTTTCTTTTTTTATTCAAAGGAAAAAACAAAACAAAACAAAACAAAAAAACCAAAACAGTATAAGTGTACAAGTAATACAGAATTACAAAAAAAAAAAAAAAAAGGTAAGAAATCACTAGTTAATAGATCACATGTTGTCATCTTAGAAATAGTTGTTCAAGTTACAGGATTAAAGCATACAAAGTGGACACTCAAACAGTGAGACTGCATTGTACACAGTTGTGTACAATGGTCCAACAAAAATTCAGTAATATGGTCATCTATTTTAACACACCTAAACACACTTGCAGTTGTATCCTTTAGAGCACATTTTTTCCTCTCTTTTTTTACAACAAAATTTACACATTTTGGGTTTATTATTCCCATAGTTCTTATTACCTTTTCTTGGCAGAGAATAAAACCAAATATGACAAAACAAAGCAGTCAGTCAAAACAAAGGATAGACATAGCACATGATGTAAAAATAGAATACCAGGTTATCAACAATGGTAACCATAATGCCTCTTGCTTCCTTAAAAAGAATTGCCTATTTCATTAGGTATAATAAAATTGAACAAAACAGTACATAACAATACCAATAAAACCTAAACATTGGAAACATTACAGGACTTCAAAAGAAGGTAATGGTCAAAGCAGAATGTGCATCATAGTGAATCTTACTGCCTTCAAAGTAGTTGCCTATACCCTCAAACTTGATACTATCAAACAGAACGGAACCGAGTCTAATCATTCAAAACAAGATAGTGGGAGTAATACAGGCCTTCAAATAAAGTTAATAGGAAATCAAAAAAGTTACTATAATATATCCTGCTAATTCTTTTGTTTTTCCCTTAATTAAAAATAATAAAAAATAAATAGTTTTTTATGAATAAGGGGGAGATTGAGATAAAAGAGGACATAACAATATAGCAATACAGGTCAAAGCATGGCAATTTCAGCAAACTAGTTCTTCACCAGAAGATAACCCGACTTAATAGTAGTTACCATAGTGCCTTTTTCCTTGAAATATTTGAATATAACTTTGTATACTATAGCATCAAACATATCAAGAGAGCATGAAACCATTCAAGTGGATGAAAGTATTACAGGTATTAAAAAGCAGCTAAAGGAAAACTAACAATAGTTTCTATACTATCTCTTTGTCTATAAAAATTTTTATTTATACTCTCACATATAATAAAATCCAGTAAGATAAAACATGATAAAACCAGTGGAGACAGAAGAGCAACAGTTCGGTGGAACTTCTGAACAAGATGATATTCAATCAGCACTAGCTATTATGATGTCTTGTTTTTTTTTCAAAAGAGCTGTTCATTTCATCACAAGCAATAATATCAAATAGCCCAGAATAAAGCCATTCCAATTAATGAGTGAAAACTTTACAAGGCTTCAAAGCCACATAATGGGGAATCATGATAACCACATACTTTTATATATTTGAATCAATTCTTACAATAGGGAAACTATTTGGTATTTATACATGTGACTTTGATTTATTTCACATATGAGTATGATCTCAAGTTGCATCAATTTATTTATAAATATCTCAGTGTGAATGG